TATTACAGTTGTGCCCTCGCGCAGAGGGTTCAAATTAAATATACAGTCCGAATATAACAAGTCTCGAATAAAAAAGAATAATTACAGTCAAAACATTACAAGATTTTCTAATTAATTAACAAATTAACTAATAAGAAAGTCAAATAAAACTGGCGTGGCAAGCCAGGCGACTGCCTTGCTTCTGAGATGATGCATGTTGCCGGATTGTTCTGCGCGGAATCCACCGGAATGCCGCCAATTAGCCTCTGTTACACTTGTTCTTGAAATTACGCGCTAAGTTCCAGAAAGTTGCTGTATCCTCGTTTTGCTGCAACAGAAGGCAGAAAAGGGGCATAAGCTAATGTATTTGCACATGATATTATTGCATGTCTCGATCCCTCGTCGCCACCAATCACGCATATCGAGGATGATCGGCGCGAGGAATCGAAATGCCAACAACTCAATTAGGATGAATGCAGATGAAAACTACAGCTATAAAGATCTAACTCATCATGGATAATCCGAGTGTCTCGTGACTGGGGAATTGAAGACACATTCCTTCACTCGGAGTACGAAAGTACCCTGCGCTTCCCGTGCCCGGGACTATAACTCTATTCCGAACCAACGATGGCAATATGCATGATATGCATGAAAATGCAATTAAGATACATCTTAACATTACACAATGTAATGGAATGACATGCCTCGAATGCCGTGCACAGTGGCACACCAAATCGACGAAAATGACATGAATGCAATGAAAATGAAGGCGCGCTTGAAATGCTGCACCGGGCACGCAACCCGACGGCCGATGGCAAAATGCTATGAAATGAGTTGCCTCGAAATGCTGCAGCACGGGCACGCAGCACGCAAACCGAGGCAATGGCATGTCTCGAAATGCGTGCACACGGGCACGCGAATCGAGAAAATGACGGAATGCTGAAAATGAGGTGCCTCGAAATGCGTGCACGCGGGCACACAAACCGAGGCGATGATATGTGTCTTGAAATGCGTACACGCGGGCACGCAAACCGAGGCGATGATATGTGTCTCGAAATGCGTGCACGCGGGCACGCAAACCGAGGCGATGATAGAATGCGATGAAATGTCATGGAAACATGATATGGACTTATACCAACATGAGTGAGCCTCAGCCACACTCACATAGGATGCCGTCGGATAAAAATGAAGCGCCTCGAAATGCGTGCACACGGGCACGCAAACCGAGGCGGTGACAAATGCAATGCAAATGGCATGGAAATGACAAATGGGCTTATACCAACATGAGTGAGCCTCAACCACACTCACATAGGATGCCGTCGGATAAAAATGAGGTGCCTCGAAATGCGTGCACACGGGCACGCAAACCGAGGCAGTTGCAGAATGTGATGCAAATGACATGAAAACATGATATGAGCTTATACCAACATGAGTGAACCTCAGCCACACTCACATAGGATGCCGATGGGTGAAAAATGAATTGCCTCGAAATGCGTGCACACGGGCACGCAAACCGAGGCGACTGCAGAATGTGATGCAAATGACACGGAAATGACAAATGGGCTTATACCAACATGAGTGAGCCTCAGCCACACTCACATAGGATGCCGTCGGATAAAAAAAGAGGTGCCTCGAAATGCGTGCACACGGGCACGCAAACCGAGGCGGTGATAAATGCAATGCAAATGACATGGAAATGACAAATGGGCTTATACCAACATGAGTGAGCCTCAGCCACACTCACATAGGATGCCGTCGGATAAAAATGAGGTGCCTCGAAATGCGTGCACACGTGCACGCAAACCGAGGCAACGACAAAATATGATGAAACATGGCAAAAATGATATGCAAGCATGCTAATAGAATTTCAGCAACAAAATATGGGGGAAAACAGTCCCGAAATGAAGCGAAATGACACGAAATGCAAGGAAATGTCCCGAAATGTGAATTTAGGCACCCGAAATGGCCTATAGCTATGCTAAACATGCACAATGTGGACATGCAATGCAAATACAGAAGCTAGACAGTCCCAAAATATGCACTTTTACAGTTATGAACATGGCCAAACAGCAATCATAGGTATGGTAAAAATGGCATGCAAGAAAAGGGGCCAAAAGAGGGGTAATGAAGCAAGTGGCATAAGCAAAACCCAAACCGAAAAATTTCCTTCTACAACACTGAATATGGACCAAAAATATGAACATTTACAGTATATGGCAGCCTCAAAATCAGTATACAAATATGCTAAAAATGTGATGCAAAATGAGGCTCAAAAGGTGCTAAAACATGAAGTATACCAAATAATCACCAAACAGCCAAAGACCCTTAATCAAACATGAAGTATGGGCCAAAATAAGACTATCTCTAGGCCTGTAAAATGGCTGAAAACAAAAGCATGGTAGGCTAACTAAACATGCAAGAAAACGAACCGAAAGTGAGATATAACATGAAGTGGCTTATGGGGGTCTCAAACCATGAAAGACCCTAAACAAAACATGAATAATGGACTAAAATAAACACTTTTTCAGAACTGTAAAATGGCCAAAATCGTAAGCATGGTAGGCTGCCATTGTATGCAAGAATGGGGAAGAAAAGAGGAGTATAAGGGTAGGTATAACATGGAAGTCCCAAATGGTGTTGAGCCCTTCTTTAATGTTGAAGAGGGGCTTAAAATAAGCCTAATATCAGTTTACAACATGCTCGAAAATAAATTTCTCATGGGCCAAAAATAGCATGCAAAACTATGACATACAAGAGGGTCAATGAAGCAAGTGTGTCATGGAGGGCTCAAACAGGGTTGAGCCCTTAATTAAAAGTGAAGACAAGCTCAAAAGAGGCCCCTTTTCAGTTAGGGCTGGAGCTTGAAACAAAAAGCATGGAGGGCTTAGAAGTAAATCAAGAAAAAGGGTCAAAAGGGTAAAAGTGTTACTTACCCTTGAAGATTCAAACTTTTGTTGCTTCTTGGATGGATTTGCAGCTTCTTTAGCCTTCAAGAATCCTTCGGAGCTGCTGGAAATGAAATAGTGGTGGTAGAACTTGGTGGTGTAGAAGGAATAATGGTTAGGGACTTAGGGTTTTTTGAAGAATTGAGAAAGGAAGAAGATGGAGTTGCTATGGAGCTTGAAGAGTAATTTTCTAACCCCAACAAAAACAAGGTTTGCTTGTAAATAGGCCAAAGAAGGGGTGTAAAGGTGGGGGAAAAGGAGAGTAAAACTCCCCCACAAAATATCCCCCGGATACAGAAAATATCTGGGGGATATTGCCCCACAGCTTGTAAAGTGCACAGTGAGAGGAACACGGCCGGCCTATCACTTTTGCTGGAGGTGGCCGGCCGGACACACCTCCTAGCCGGCCGGCTAGGGGTCAAAAGGGTCAATGTTGATTTTTCTGGCCGGCCGGTACTGGAGAGATACCCCTATGTGTGGTTCAACATAACCATGTGGTTAAAAGTCCGACGAAAGTGGGTCCAAGGGGTTCAACATTGGCTCGGAAAGGAGGGGGTCAAAAGGTTCAAGTTTGAATTACTGGCCGGCCATGAACTTTTTAGGGGCCTCCCAGGTGTGTAGATCACAGATATGTGGTTTGAAAGTTCAAGAATGTGGGCCAAGGGGTTCAACATTAGCCGGAAGTTAGGGGTCAAAAGGTCAGGTAACCTTAATGGCCGGCCACCCAACTTTTAGTGGCCTCTCATGTGTGTAGATCACAGATATGTGTTGAAAGTTGGCAACACTAACCCTAGGGTGTTCAACATTAGCCCTGGGGGGGAACGGTTGAAAAACGGGTGTCGGAGGGCGCCGGAGGAGTAAAGAACTGGTTGTTGAAACAATTGCTGGCCTCCCACCCTTCCATGACCTTTCTAGTGATGAAACAGAGGTACCTGCCAAAAACGAACGAAAATCGATGCAAAACGAATGTTCGGGGGCCAAAACACGCGGTTCGGGGCCCCGGAAACTGCCTGTTAAGCACCGAAAGTGGCGTTCGGCTACGAAGTAGGTTTCTTGGACCCCAGTGTCCCTTGAAAGGGAGAAAATAGGATGTATGCCAAAAATCAGAGCAAATGGAGATGGTTAAGCGGTCCCGAATCGAGGCACATGGCCAACGATCCCGAAAACCGGGAACCAGACTCCGAAATGGGCAAAATGGCCTGCGGCCACAAAATGTAGCCCACGGCCACTGAGAGATGGTCTACGGGACCTCTCCCTCCCCTCAGAAAAAGAAACAGCGAAAATTGAGCCTGGTTTGCAAACCGAGGCAAGGCACAGAAGAGGGTTCAGAAGTCCGGAGGCAGGGCTCATGGCCGCGACTCTGAAACTTCTGAACAAGCACATTATGCAACATCACCAAGTGCTCAATCAGTGACGTCTGAGTCTTAAGGTCGGTCAAAAATGGGGTGTCTACACAATGCCATTTTCTGTTTGGATCCATATGTTTGTTGTTTCTCCTTTTCTGTTGGGAGGAGGGATACACACATCTTGTTTAATTCATTATAAGTCTAATCATAGCTTAAGCAATAGATGGATGACAACTAATGAAAATTAGACAGCTCAATACCTGTACACAATTTAGCCTTTTACTATTCCAATCTTTTTGAGTTTTTTACAGCATTAAAGTAGAAACAATACAATATCAATACATAAACTGGAACTATAAAACTCTGATTTGAATAGGACAAGCTTCTTATTTATTTCTGAGTTTGTGCTTCAATTTGTCTTTGGTTCTGCTGCTGCTGATTCAATCACGATTTCCTGCACAAACAAATTAATAGTTCTATGAGTTCATGATAGATTTTTTTAAACTTAATGCTATGATTGATTCTTGGATTTATTTTGGAATAATATAGTTTAGCAACTTAATACATAAGACCTGGTACCTGATTAGCACTTGGAGTTTTTTCCTAATTAACATCCAAATAGTTTACCATTTGACCAAGGAAGAATTCAAATGTAACACCATATAAAAAAGATAAAGTAGGCCTATTAATTCATATTTCTGCATCAACTTGTTGTCTCTTATTCATTTTTACATGCTTCAAGTTAACCAATCAAATGGGTTGTCATTTTGAGTGTTGCCTAGTCTATGAACTTTTTGAAGTATCATTTCAATTCTGGAACATTATTAACAAGTGGATGTGATTTTTTATATTAAAAAATTGTAGATAAATGATCAAGAGGAGTGGGAAAAGTATAGAAAGTGGGCAGCCACTTGTGTAGCTATGTATGCTTCATATGCTGTCAGCCTTGTCTCAATTCTTCATTGTCGTGATCATATAAGGAAGTCAATTTCAGAACAAGGAGATTATGAAAGATATGCCCTAATTAAGCGGCTAACGACTTTGGAAGATGCAGATTGTCGTAGCCAGTTACGCATGAGCAAAGATGCGTTTGCCACACTAGTTAGCATGCTTAAAAGAACTCAGTTTCTTAGAGACAATCCTCAAAGTAAAGTAGAAGAACAAGTTGCAAAATTCCTTCATATAATTGGCCATAATTTGAGGAACCGTACGATCAAGTTCTTTTATAGACGATCAGGTGAGACTGTTAGTCGACATTTTCATCAAGTTCTTAAAGCCATTATATCATTGGAAGATATCTTTTTAAAGCAACCTGATGGATTCAACTGCCCTCCAGAGATTAGAAACAATCCCAAGTATTGGCCTTATTTTAAGGTAGTTACATGAATGCAATTAGGGTATATAATATTATATGTTTGGATACAAATAATGAATTTTTACAGGATTGTGTTGGTGCGATTGATGGTACACATTTTCGTGTAAGAGTGCCAAACAAGGATGCACAAAGATACCGAGGACGAAAATGCTATCCCACTCAAAATGCTTTGGCTGCATGTTCTTTTGATTTAAAGTTTACATATATCCTTCCGGGATGGGAAGGATCTGCTTCAGACTCAAGAATATTAGATAATGCATTAACAAGAGAAATGGATAAATTTATCGTTCCTCAAGGTGATCACTGAACGTGTATATATGCTGATGAATATAAATCTATTTTCTTTCAAACTAACATCATTTAGTTACTTGTTGGTCCTAGGGAAATATGACTTAGTAGATGCAGGATTTCAACTAAAAACTGGGTTCCTTGCTCCATATAGAAGTACTCGTTACCATTTGAAGGAGTAAAGTGTTCATCAACCAGAAAATTCTCGAGAGATTTTCAACCTTCGTCATGCATCTTTGCGAAATGCAATTGAAAGAGCCTTTGGTGTCCTAAAGAAAAAGGTTTCCAATTTTAGGAAGTGGGACAGAGCCATATTATGATATTGACACTCAAGCAGATATTGTTTTGGCCTGTTGTATTTTGCACAACTACCTCATGGGTGTTGATCCCATTGAAAGTCTTATTGAGGAGGTTGATACAGAGCTTAGAAGAGCACAAGTGCAATCTAACGTGGCTAGATCAAGTTTAGCTGAAGAATGTAGGGAAGGAGAATTGTTAAGGGAGCGAATAGCTACTGACATGTGGAGAGATTATGATATAAATCTTCAATGACAATCAAATTTTAATATGGATTTTGGAAAACAGAGAGGGGCTAGAAGGGTTATTTGACGTTCTTGTTCTTGTTCTTGTTCTTGTGATGTACCCATTATGTACTCATTTGCTTTACATTAATATAATATTTTTCTTTTGCTGATAAAACAAAAAATTGACAAGTTAATTATTATTATTTGAATGTTATCTTGGAATGAATTATATTTTAATTGTATTATGTGAAACATTGCGTTTGTTTGGGTGATAATTTGCTACTAGCTATGCTCTTCTTCCGATATGTTTTATGGCATTTTTGAGTATAGGTGGAAGGTGACCGAGAATGTTCAGTAGAAATTGACAAGAAACATTTGAAATGGAATAATCAAATGGATATTGTTCTTATTGACTCACTCTTGGACCAAATGCTCAAAGGGCAAAAAATTGGTGGTAGTTTTACATCATCTGCTTATAGAGCTGCAAGCAATGCGGTGAGTACCAAGTTTAGTGTACATTGTGATTCCAGTCATGTAAGGAATCGGTTGAAGACTTTAAAAAGGAATCTTGCAATGGCTAAAGATATGTTAACAACTGATAGTGGATTTGGATATAATCATTCAACACAACTGATTGAAGCTACAGCAGGTGTATGGGCAGCTTACCTCAAGGTATATCTAATTGCCAGATTGATGTAGTTCTGTACTAGAAAATTACAATATTTGTTCATCATTATTTAATATAATATTATATATGCTATTCTCTATAGGCAAAGCCTAAAGCTTCTCAATTTCGACATGCTCCGATTCAAAACTTTCAAAAGTTATGTCAACTCTTCGAAAAGGATCGAGCAACTGGGAGTCTTGCTATAGGTCCAAAAGAAAAGCGACTTCGTTTGGCTGGGCAACAAATTCTTTTGGATGATGAAAATACTGATCATACTGAGTCACTCTCAGAGAATTTTGATGGGATTGGAACTCAAGATGACCAAACTGCTGAAGTATCTTGTTCCTCTAACTCAAAGAAGAGAAAGAATAAATTAGGGAACACTCTGAGTAAGGAAATAAGGTCAATTAAGGAAGGCCTAGATGCAGTTGCAGCAGCGCTTGATCGTGGTAACCTTCGGAACTACACAAATGGACAATTATTTGAGGAGATTGAGAAGGTTAGTGGCATGAGTGATGCTTCTCGAATGAAGATGTATCAAGTTCTTGCTAAAGAAGTGAGTGATGCTCGAGCGTACCTAGAATGCCCTATTGAACGCCGAGGTCTTTGGTTGTTTGTTAAATTCGGAAATTCAATCTTTGATGCGTAGTACTATTTTTCTTTCGTTGGTACTTTTTTATTTGAATATTTCGGGGATGTGGTGAATCTATGAAAATATCATTAGGCTTGGATTTTTTGTATGTAGACTCTATTAGTTGGTGGTGAGTCTATTTCGGTAGATGAATCTGTTATTCTGATTGTGATGCATTACTGCATTATGATACATTGATGTTATGTTTTCTATATTGGTGGATGAGTCTGGTGTCTTGGTTTTGATGTTCTGCTGCTGATGTTGTCTTATGCTTTGGTTTGGTGTTCTGCACTTATGCTGTTGCTGTTGCTGATGCTAGCTGTCTGTAGGTGGTTGTGATGCATTGCTGCACTATGATACATTGATGTTATTTCTTTGTTTTTTTTTTTGGTAATGCTTGTGAGATTATTCTGATCATCATAATAGAACTCTTGGAATCATCATTATGTTCAATTTAAATTGTTGTTTGTCTGTTGAATCTGCAATTCAAACTTCATCAAGTTTGGAGGGGAAGCTCTTCCACTAATATATAAATGCTTTTATATTATTGTCAAAAAAAAAGATGATCTATGTAATTTTAGTGTTTGACTATATGTTTTCACTTGTTTTATGCTCTAGTGATTGATGTGATTGTTATGTTCTCGTACATTTTTGGTTGGATTAGAAAAATTAGAAGAAAATAACATATATATATATATATATATGTCGAGAAAATATAATAAAGTTTTGTTTAGTTATGATTTTTTATTTTTATCAAATTAATTTTTTATTTTTTTATTTTTTATTTTGATTGATTTTTTATTTTGATTGATTAATTTTTTATCAAATTAATATATATATATATATATAAGTAGAAAAGAGTTTGAAATCAATTTTATGTGATTAAAAAGAAATTAACAAGAAAATGAAAAATTGGAGCTAAGCTCAAGTTTATGAAAGTTATTTTTTTTTTATCTTTTTGTTTTATTTGAAGAAGAATCCATTAAAGAAGGTCAAACAGCATTTATAAGAGTCCATCCAACTCAAAACTTACACCAAACAAAGGAAAGATATAGCAAGAAATATAACGAAAAGAACTTAAAAAAATATTTAGATGCATATCTCGTGCTCGTTCTGCGAAGCAAAGCCGATCATAAAAGTTCGGCAATAGAACATGTCTAGGATAAATCATAGACCCTAACCACATAGAGGGTAAGTTAAACATCACCACCGATGGACTCACACACACACACACACACATAACATCAAGAACAAACCCACAAAACCATAGAAAACCAGAAGAATAAAACAAACCATAAAATAGTTACCAACAAGAAGGCAAACCCAAAGAAAAACTAGGAAAAAACAAAAAAAAAAAAACAAAACAAAACAAAAGGCAGAACAACGCACAAACCAAAGCATCAACGATGGCGACAACAAATCCGACGGGAAAGGAGGTGGCAGAACCGGGGAAGGGAGGTGGCGTCCGGCAGGCCTAGAGAATGCAACAAATATGACGATGAAGAGCAGCAAAATTGGCAATGATGGACGACGCCGGAAGGAAGTGAGACGGAGGAGAGATGGCGGATTCAATGAAAACCACAGCTGAAGTTGAGGCTAAGGGAAACAAACACCTCACAAAGAAGGGAGATGATGGATAGCCAAAGCTTCCAAATTATTGGACAAACCAAGGAAAGGGAAGAAAAAAGAGGGGTAGGAGGAGGGGAGGCTGTAGGCCGCTGTAAGCCCCTCCACTACCCTGACAGCTGCTATACGCTTGAACCCTAAGAGGAGAAAAGTTTAGAGAGAGAAAGATTTTTTTTTAATTTTAAACTAGTGTTTGTTTGATGAAAGAAAAATATAGTGGAATAGGCCTTATATATTCATATAATATCATTTTATTTCAACTATAATATTTTTATATGAACTCTTATGTTGTATTTGATTAATTAGAATGAGATGGAATTGAATTATTATATATATTTATTACGACTTTAGTTATGAGTTCATATTCTCTAAAATAATTTTTAAATTTTTTTTAGTTGACTTGTATTTAATTCTATAAAAATTGAAGATAAAATAGTCAAAATCTAAGAATATATCAACCATACAAATAATTACTCTAACATCACTTAACAAAAATAAATAAATAAATTACAAATATACCCCATAATATTTGTTTAACCCGAATGTTATTGTGGTAAATTTAAATTTCAAAGATCTAAATCTTCTAACAAATTATTCTATTTGGTTTGATTTTAAATTTTTAAAAATTATTTTAGACAAATTTTAGTTTGTTTTAATGAATTTGTTTTCATATTTTTTTTTTCTTTTCTTTTTAGATCCATATATATCTAACAAATGACTCATTTTGTTAATAAATAGATCATACGAGCATAACAAATAACCAATTTTATTAATAAGGTAAATTTTAATTTTAAAAGTATAAATCCTCTAACAAATTATTTTGTTTGGTTTGGTTTGATTTTTTAAATATTTTTTATACCCATATATTATTGTGGCAAATTTAAATTTCAAAAATCTAAATCTTCTAACAAATTATTCTATTTGGTTTTATTTTTTAAAAAATTATTTTAGACGGATTTTTGTTTGTTTTAATGAATTTGTTTTCATATTTTTTTCCTAACAAATCTTCTAATAAATGACACAATTTATTAATAAATAAATCATACTCGCATAACAAAAGACCAATTTTATTAGTAAGATAAATTTTAATTTTAAACATATAAATCTTCTAACAAATTATTTTGTTTGGTTTGGTTTTTTAAATATTTTTTAGACCCGTATACTATTATGGTAAATTTAAATTTCAAAAATCTAAATCTTCTAACAAATTATTCTATTTGGTTTTTAAAAAAAAAATTATTTTAGATGGATTTTCGTTTGTTTTAATGAATTTGTTTTCATATTTTTTTTCTTTCTTTTTAGATCCATATGCATCTAACAAATCTTCTAACAAATGATCCATTTTATTAACAAATAAATCAAACTTGCATAACAAATGATCAATTTTATTAATAAGTAAATAATTAAATCAATTAATAATTTTCAATCATATGAAAAAAAAATCTTTCGGTTAACCATTTTGTTACTAAATAAAGCATTAAATCAATTAACAATTTTTAATGATATGAGAAATATTTTTCACTAAATAATTTTGATAATTTATTGTTGCATAGAAGAGTAGTTACTTCTTTTTTTTTTTTTTAAATTTTTTATTGTGTTAAATTAAAATTTATAGCAAATGATAGTTGTAATTTCTAATATTATAGGACCAATAATATATTTTAAACAAACCTTATGGATGAATTTGTAATTTCCTAAGAAATAAAAGATTTATGTTTCGTAATTTACCAAGAATGTTCGAATAATTACGAAAAAAACATTCACTCAAATTAGTACCACAAATATTGGTTAATATTACCAAAGAAAAAAGGATAAAATGAGAAAGTCAACATATCAGTTACCATTAGTAAATTATACAAAATAAAAAAGGTAAAATAGAAAAGAAGAAAAAAAGAAAAAGAAAAAGAAGACAAGCCAAAAAAAAAAAAAAAAAAAAAAAAAAAAAGCCATAAACAGATAAGCGCTTCTTTTATATTATTCTCTCCTATTTTTTTTATTAAAAAAATGATACTTTCCCTAAATAAAATATGATCACAATAGTATTATTATTTGTTTTTTTGGTGCAACTTTCTAAAAGAAATTACAAATCAGTGAAAAATTTATCAATTTTAATAAATTAATGTTATAAGCTTTTCCAATAATTTGTAAATATTTTATAGAAACACCACTAATTTTCCCTTGTTTTTTTCACCCCTCCCCTCGCCCTCCCCAACATATTTGCCTACCCCTCCCCTTCCCTTTCCCGCTCGCCTTCCCCTTCCCCTACCCCTAAGTATTTGCCTAGTTTATCTCCATCACATCCCACACACTAATCACACCGAATTATGATTCTCTTAATTACATAATTAGATATTAGTATTCGATTACATAAGATTGTAATGTATTATTAACATTTAAAATCAATGATGTATTTTTATTACTTTAATTTAAATTTTGAAAATCTTTCTTGATTAATTATTTTTGAGTTTGAACCACAAATTAATTTTTAATTTTTTTTAAAAAAAACTAATTCCTCACTGTTAATGTAAACAATAATACCTACTCCACTCCACTAATACTTACTCTACTACACCTACTACACCTACTACACTTACCACACCTACTACACTACTACCAATGTATTCTCTCCTATTTATAGGAGCTATTTGTACACAATTCATATATAAGATTTACAACAATATAATCTTATCTCTCTTTTATCTTTCTCTATACATTATTCTAACATGGTATCAAAGCTATAGGTTAAGCTCTTGGTGTTCTTCGCCTTACCGGCGGGCGGCAGCCTCGCTTTGACCGCCCGCCGGACCTCAACCTATTCCGCTCTCATATTTTACTTTTAGTATCGCTTCGTGGTGATCTTTTCATCTACCCGCTGGTTTATTCCTACCCCGAATATCTCTATCATATTTTTTTTTTAACTCGTAATATTTTTTTTTTCCTCCACTTTATCTTTCCCTCTACGTCAACCTCAAATTGGTTTCTATCTTTAAACCTATTTGAGTTTGAGGGTGGGTATTATACATATATCATGGTGAACATGGTTATATATCATGCAAACTACCTAGCCGCCTCCTTTGGCGCACAATCCAAGCCGCACTCACTAGCGCACAAGCCAAGCCGCTTCCTCAGGCGCACCACCAAAGCCCCCCTGGCGCACCATCCAAGCTGCCTCTTAGCGCACTCAGTCATTTATTGCCATCATCGTTCAGCACCACGTCATAAGTTATGTGAGCCACGTTTGCTGGTTCAACATCCAGCTCCTACATCGGTCCGATATGACCCCTTCAAACTGTCCCGACATTGATTCTGGTTAGCTCCTACATCGATCTGGCATGACCCTTTTAAACTGTCCTGACATTGATTCCGGTTAGCTCTTACATCGCTCCGGCATGACCGCTTTAAACTGTCCCTGACATTGATTCTGATTAGCTCCTACATTGGTCCGGCATGACCCCTTTAAACTGTCCCTGACATTGATTCTGATTAGCTCCTACATTGGTCCGGCATGACCCCTTTAAACTGTCCCGACAATGATTCCGGTTAGCTTTTACATCGGTTCGACATGACCCCTTTAAATTGTTCCAACACTGATTCCGGTTGGCTCTCACAATGGTCCAGC